CCGGACAAGCACATGCTTTCCCTTCAAACATGGAAGGAAGTGCTTGAGCGCTAGCTCTAGAACCTTGACCTACCCCTGCGGTCTTTGAGCAGACAACTGCCCCCAAGCTGTCTTGTCCTGTCACACTGCACCCCGCCTTGAGAGGCAGGTATCTGTTGTGACAATCTCCCGGTGGAATGGAACCGAGCCCATAGGGACACTGTTTGCCAGATATGCACTCTCCCTACATGGGGATAGAGTGAGTAGGCACTGTTTTGATATTATTGCCCTGTATCTGTGTCACTTGGCATCCAAGTGAAGGCTGTTCAGCCATCTGCAAACCCAAGAGAACGACAGTTGAGGCAGCTGTCAGTTTACCCAATAGTCGGAGAAAAGGATGTAGGGCAACCGTCTGCCCCCTCGGAAGGGGGAGAGGTTGTGGGGGTTGTTGTCCACATGCTGGGGTGACAGACGGGCCCTCATAGGGCCACACCAATGAAGGTTATGCTCTGAGAAGGGCTCAGGTAGCTCCTCTCCATGTTCACCTTGAGGCCCACCGGGCCACGTGAGAGAAGGCGAGCAGTGTCCTGTGGCGCCTGAAGCTGGGATGGCGCCCAGGTCAGCCAGTTGTCTAAGTACGGCAGTATGTTCACGCCCTGTGATTGCAGGGGGGAAGGACAGCAGTAACACACCTTGTGAACACCCATGGGGAGATGGGAGAGTCCGAATGGAAGCACCCTGGACTGAAAGTGGCGGCCTTATAAGGCGAAACGTAGAAACTGCCTGTGGTGATGCACCATGGGAACATGGGAATAGGCGTCGATAGACGTGAACCACTCTCCCTTGGAAATCTGCTGCTGGGAGGAAAACCCCGACAGCCGGCCCGGAGACATCTCCTGGCCCCCTGCCTCTGGAGGCTTTTGGGGGGCGGGGGGGCGGGGTGCGACTGTTCGTCCCCAAGTTCGGAGGTTGTCTGGGGGGGGCGTAGGTAGGGTTGTATGGGTAGCGGCCCGGCCTCTCAGCAGGACGTTGAGGACTGTGTCGGCTACTAGGGTAGGCTGGAGGCTGAAAAAACGGCCTTGTGGGGCCAAAGTGGGACCCCTAGGTCAGAGAACTGCTGCCTGTTCTGGCTAGCTTCAACAGTTCGCTGGAGCGCCTGTATAGCAGCTGACTCGAACAGCTCACCAGGTTCCACTGGGACAGTACAGAGGGTCCTCCTACATGTCTCAGATAGGGGTGACTGCACCAGCCAAACCTGGCAGCGAGTTTGGACCAGGGTGGACATCATATGTCCAAGTTCCCTTGACATGAGCGCAAACGCCTGCAATGAAGCATCACTGAGGCTGGAGGCGGAAGCGTCGAAGTAGCCTGCTGCAGAGAAGCTGCGAGGGCAAGTATGAGGTCGGAGAGGGAGTTGTCGATACGGTGCACAGCGCTGCTGTGTCATAAGCCCTGGATAACAGGTCATCTTTGACCTGACGTTGGGTTGAGGGCACCTGGCATCGGGCCTCACAGTCTCCTCAGGGGAAACTATGAGGGACGCAATAGTCGGCTAAATGGCTGGCATACGTGCAAGGCCACCTCCTGCATGGCCGTCAGGGTTCGCCATCTGATGTAAGGCGGGAGAGAGCCCTGGTGTCTCTCCAGCATGCATGCAACTCCCTCAGATATTCCTCGGAGGGAGGAACAGAAAAGGTGGTGAGGGTTAGCCTGAGCGACCAGTTAGCCTGAGCGAGAGCACTCTGCTACTGTGAAAACGGGCCAAAAAAAAAAACAGTCCTTACAGTGAGAGGGGAGCGAGGACACTCTCTTCACTAGGACAGTCACTGCGGATATTGGTGTCCCACCAGTTAGCTTGAGCGAGAGCACTCTGCCACTGTGAAAACGGGCCAAAAAAAAACAGTCCTTACAGTGAGAGGGGAGCGAGGACACTCTTCACTAGGACCGTCGCTTGTAAATAGTGGTGTCCCACCAGTTAGCCTGAGCGAGGACACTCGGCTAACTGTGATAGCCGTAATGTTACAAAATCAATGGACACAATCCCAGTATTAACTTAGTCTAGTTAGTGTCCCACCAGGTTAGCCTGAGTGAGGACACTGCCAGTTGCGACAGCCGTAATGCGTAAGAAGCATCAATGGGCACAATATCAATGTTGATTTAGTATAACTAGCATTCACTGAGTTAGCCTGAGCGAGAACACTCTGCTAACTGTGATAGTTGTAATGCTACAAAGTTGATGGCCACAGCCCCAGTATCGGCTTTGTTTAGCTAGCTTCCCCCTGAGTTAGCCTGAGCGGGGACGCTCTGTTAACTGTGACAGCCGTAAAGTTACAAAGTTGATGGACACAGTCCCAGTATCAGCTTTGTCTAGCTAGCTTCCCCCTGAGTTAGCCTGAGCGGGGACGCTCTGTTATCTAACAGCCGTAAGGTTACAAAGTTGATGGACACAGTCCCAGTATCAGCTTTGTTTAGCTAGCGTCCCACTGAGTTAGCCTGAGCGGAGACGCTCTGTTAACTGTGACAGCCGTAAGGTTACAAAGTTGATGGACACAGTCCCAGTATCAGCTTTGTCTAGCTAGCATCTCACCAAGTTAGCCTCAGTGAAGACACTGCTAACTGTGAATTATGTCAGATGTAAACACTAAATCTCAATGGACACAATGCCAATGTCGATCTAGTCGAGCTAGTCTCTCACCAAGTTTGCCTGAGCAGGAACACTCTGCTCACTGTGATAGCTGTAATGTTACAACATCAGTGGACTTAATGCTAATGTCGAACTTGTATCTCATCAAGTTTGCCTGAGCGGAAACACTCTGCTAACTGTGATAGCCGTAATGTTACGAAACCAGTGGACATAATGCTAATGTCGATCTAGTCGAACTTGCATCTCATCAAGTTAGCCTGAGCAGGACACTCTGCTCACTGTGAAGGGCGGGCCGACAGCGTATATTCTACGCTCTCGTTAGCGTGCCACTCGATTAGCTAGAACGGAAGCGCTCTGCCAACCGTGGAAAACGAACAACGGTTATAGAAAACAATGTTAATCGATCTCACCGATTGCTGTCTTCACGACTTAGGTGGCCCTTATCAGACTGGTGACGACCGATGATAGGTGCGTCCACCAGTCCGGGGCTCGATGTACGAACGGTGAACACACCGCTCCCTCCGAAGAGGGCCAGCTTGTCGCAGCCTTTGGAGGGCGAGAAAATCCGCAACTCCGACCGGTGGTCACAAGGCTACAGCGACAAGCTCTAATATGTCTTGATCGTAGACACATCTTTGTTTATGCTACCATGGTAGCTAACCTGCGTAGCGAGAAGATGAAAAAGAACTGAACTCAGGATGACACCGGAAGTTATAGACGACGGGGGTCATCCGAGGTCACAGGTGACTTTGTTGGTATAAATATTCAACCTGCGCATGCGAGAGACGGAAGATATCCAGTGTGAAGCACTGCCTCTGGCAGTCAGTAAGGATGAAATAGAACGATGTTTCTCCGTGTCTGCTGGATGTTAAAGTAAGCAGCTTTTCATATCTGCTATATAAGGTGATAAGGGTCAAAGTTCATTTCACGTGAGATATTAGGCCAGTCTGCATCCGGTGAGTCAGACTAGTGCCGCATCAGTGTTGCTTGTTTTGCGGTTCAATAACGCAGATCTGAACATCGTGCTTAAAGATTTCTCCGATGTAGCGTCTGGTTCTTAGTCCGATAAATAGTGAACACAAACTGAAGCAGCCCTGTTGTGCATTTCTTTAAGAAGAGGATTGTGTATTTCTAAATAACTGCTATGGGATTGCTTAGGTGTAGCATTGTTTCTGTGTGATCTGATGTATCTTTTTAACTTGGGGCGCACGAATGTATCAGGTTTTGAGTCACAGATCGGATCAGCACTAAAGAAAAAAGAGAGCAAATGATGCCCCGATCCCATTCGTTTCTTTAATATGTAGACGGAAAACGACCAACCTCATTCAAAAGTAGTGGTGTAACAGACCATTGTGAACCGTGGATCAATAGCGTGAACCATCAGCGTGTGAAATAATGCTTAACTGACGATCGTTATCCACCAATAGTTTTCAAAACATAAATAGATATTAGAGATGAACTATGACCTGTTCATTAACTCTAAACAGATTCATCATTTGAATTGTGTGTTTTTATGAAGAAAAACCACTAAATGACTATAACAAAGTAAAAGAATAACATTTAGAATTTTTGATGGTTTACACACTTCAGAGTGGTTGAAATGATTTTTGGGACGGTGCAATGAAAAATAGTCTGGAGCCTCGTAGACATCACATTACATTACAGTCATTTAGCAGACGCTGTTATCCAAAGCGACTTACAATAAGTGTATTCAATGTAGGTAGTCAAGATAACTACTAGTCACCAGAAGTCATAAGTGCATCTCCTTTTTAAACAAGCATCTAAGAGCAAAAACCAGAGCAGAAGTACAGTATAATCAAACAGAGGGATCTGTATCTGCCAGTATGGATCATCAATGATCTGCAATTGGTATCGGCGGCAAAAAATGTGATCAGGGATCTGTAAAAGGGATATTTGCTCCCTTTTTTCCTCTGTGCTGATCTGATCCGTGACTCTGATTGTGATCTGATCCGAACCGTGAGTTTTATAATCCATTGCACCACTATTAGCATAACAAGCTCTGTATGGCTGTGTAAAACATACCGGCTGTGAATGACCGAGAGCCGACAGCGGGCCGAGCGACTGAAGACATCTCATTTATACAAGTTCACCTTGTGCTTCTTCTAACAGGTTCATGATTCACATGTTGTCCCTCACTGGATGATTCTGTTGCACTCGTAAAAAAAAAAGAATGATCATTGTCTTTTTCAACAAGCTGGTTGTCCTGTGTGCATATACGCACTCATTTTGTTGTAAAAGGGTTTCAGAATACGTGCTGCTGGGAAGTGGTCCCTGTTAGGCTAGAAGTAGCATGACACAATGAACAGAACAAGTAGAAGGCTGTGCTTATTGGTATTACTCGTATTTGTCTTTGTAGTGGGAAGAAGATGAATGGGTCTCTGGACCACCCTGACCAACCAGACGTTGATGCCATTAAGATGTTCGTGGGACAGATTCCACGGTCCTGGTCCGAGGAGCAGCTTCGGGAGCTGTTTGAGCCTTATGGAGCAGTCTATGAGATAAACGTTCTCCGGGACCGCAGTCAGAATCCACCACAGAGCAAAGGTCAGCCTACTAGTGTGATAATAATGTGTTGTCAAAGGTATTTCATTTGAATCTGTAATATTTAGCAGTGTAGTATAAAACGTAACTGGGTTGCAGGTTGTTTTTTTGCCTCCAGCCCGGCGACAGCCATTATGTGGACTCTTACAATTACTTTATTGAACTTTCCAAAACATTTTTTCAAAGAACTCCTCCATTTAATAGTGTTTTTATGTGTTTATGTCTTCTTTGAAGACAAGGAAAAACACATTTTTTATTAAATTTTCATTTTCATTTTTTCTTTCCTTACAGTTGTTTGGATTGATGAGGGCCTTGTAATAGCATAGTGGTGGTGCTGACAAACAACATAACAGATGTATGAGTTTTACACACCACATTTAGTAAGTCAGGTGTGTGACACAGTTGTCTCTTTCAATCCTCGGCAGGCTGCTGTTTTATAACGTACTACTCTCGCAAATCAGCATTGGAAGCACAGAACGCGCTGCACAACATGAAGATTCTGCCAGGGGTAGGTGACAACCTCCTTAATCTGCCCTTTCAATGCATGCTGGTTTATATGGAAGCCTTGGACTTCTTGGGGCTGTAATAAACGTTCAAGTACACATTCGAGTACTTTAGTGTATATCCACATATTTCTTTGATGGAGCGCCTGTGGCTCAGAGGTGGAGTGGGTCATCTTAACTTGCTTAAGCTCGCGTAGATGTGAATTGAAAACGCAATTACATTTACACTTGTGTTCAATGTGGTCACAATGCATGGACACATCAGCCTCAATTCGCCGCCTTTTAGGGGGAGAGGGCCCACAAACGTGAATTTTAAGTACATCTACACTAGCATACACAGAGGGATGAGAAGATGAGATGCTGAGCACAGACAGAGCGGTGGAGATCTCTCTGGTCACAGCTGTCCAGTTACCAGAGGAGATTTGGGAGCATGCTGCAGGTTGAGTCCCACCACACACACACACACACACACACACAGACACACACACACGCACCAGGCTGAAACTTCAAATACTCACTGTTGATTAGTACCGAAGTACCAAAAGTGAGCAAACCCTAGCTAGTGTTAACCAGCTGTCATATTACTAATATGTCAAACTAATACAGGCTAGTCATGTCTTCTCTGACAAAATAATTAAACAATGACACTGCAAGCCAAGGCATTGCTTCTTTATGATAACTTTAAAGGTCACCTATTATGCACAATGCACTTTTTCATGGCTTATAAACAGAAATATGTGTCCCCAGTGTGTCTACACCCTCTCTCTTTTTCTTCTGCTCCATCTATCTGAAAACCTGTGTAAAAAAGAGATGATCAAAATAGGGACTTGTTTGTATGTCATTAGAAGTACCCAGCCATTTATGTATGTCTTTCCTGGTGGTTCTGTAACTTGGTGACCCCACCCAAGGAGCTCCTCACAATCCGCTGCTGTCCACCATGTTGATTTTCTGGCTATCATGGACCTGCTTACACAGCTCGAGCAAACAATGCTACTTGTTCTGTTGTTAGTTGCATGAAGCAACAGAAAAGACGTCATTTAATTTAGTTCCATCACCTGAGGATGTGAACACCCAGTAGACTTACTTCATTTTTAGGTATTTTAGGATCGTTTTTACTGAAATGTCCTCACAACAACAGGAAAACTCTTGTCTCAATGAGGGCCAGTAACATCTATAAAACTGAAGTTCTGGATGGATCTGGAACGGCTGTCTGTGACCCATCTTCAAACTTGGAAACTGTAAGTTTAGCCATTTTTAAGTTATGTGACTTACTGTGTAGTTTAGCCTGTTACTGTTAGCATGCCTAGCTGCTAATGTGGCTAGCTTTGATTTAAAGGTCCACAGGCTGGAGGTAATGTAGTAATGTCAGGTAATACAGAGAGATACTGTGGACATTAAGTCTCATATGAAGCCAGATGTTTGTTTTTTTGTGAAACTGCACTGCAGTGAAGCTAAGCTGGCTTTGCTAGCACAAAGGCCCACATCGGTCTGTTTGTGTGTGTTGCTTCTGTTGAGGTTGTAGATTTACTTGACAGACTGCCTTGAAGGCACAGATGTGAAAAACAGAGTCAAACTGTATGGAATTAAAAAAACAAGTTATTCTTTTGCTTGGTTTTGCAGCGTTAGCTTTGATTTGTTAGCACCAGTCACTAACTTGCTCAGGCCGGTGGTGCTCGGCTCCCTCGAAAGAGACACCAGCTAAAATAACCAACTTTAAATTATGTCTTTAGACTTTTGAGCTGTATTTATTGTTATTCACCAAGACCATTTCCTTGTATGTGCGAACATTTCTTGGCTATAAAACACTTCCCCTAGTGAGTGAGAGGAGAGAGAGAGAGCAGTGGGTGAAGTGAGAGGAGACATTCTGAGTAAAGTCTGTAAACATCTTATCGCTGCTTTCCGACCACAGAGGGACGTCTAGAAAACTTTGCTACGTGAATACTTTCTTCAGTTTCATGTTGTCTCAGGCTAAATAATACGCTAACCTGTAATAACACTGGGCAGAGTGTAACGTTACTATGATTATGAATGATGAGTTTACAAGCGGTTTACAACAACACCAGTTACACTCCTAGTCAGATGCTGTGTAATTAATTTCTTCCTCCATACTCGATAAAACTGTCATTTTTACACTGTTTGCAGATGTTGCCAGATATTGTTGCAGTAGACTATAACTTTCCTCCTGTCACACTTACTGTCGTACACCTTGATGTTATTACATGACCGTATAATGTAACGGTGAATCTGACATGTTTTACAGGCACTCGGTCCTGAAGTTCCAGTCTGATGAGGGGTTCCTGATCCCAGCAGACTCTCCTCACAGTATGTGAAGATGACCTCTGACCTGAGAGCTCCACCAGCATCTCTTTGCATGATCTGGACAGTTTACATACAAGTTATGGCTCTGCTACTTTTTGCATTATGTGTACCCAATTTATTTTTCAATGTCAGTCTATGAATAAAGAGCTTTATTTTCAAGCAGTGTTTTGTCATTTTTAAATTTACAATTAATGATCTTGTGGTATATAAAATGTTCTTTAACAAAGGTTGGATGTAATTTCTCTATTTAAACAGGTGATATGATTTCATGCATGCAGAAGGGTAAAACAATCTGGTCCTGACTAATCCTATCTTCTTATATGTTTACATTTATATATAATAATAACACTTTTTGTGTGCACTAAAGTATTTTTGTGGAGAGAGCCATTTATATACAAATCACAAAATATTTGTGAATCCCTCTGTGTGCATTCATTAATATCAAGACTGAACTGACCCCAGTCTTTACACTATATGGCAACATTCACCCAGTGAATGGCAGAGACGGCCATGAAAGGTGCCTCTGTAAATCTTAATGCTCTTTCACGCACATTCACACACCAATGGCAAAGACTGCCCATTGACACTTTCACATGCGGACTGGAGGAGCCAGGGATCGAACCACAGATTTGTACGATTAATAAACGACCCATTCTACCACTGAGCCACAGCCCCCATATTAACATCAACGTCCATTAACGGCCAAATAAACGTTCATAAAAAGGACAGGGGACCTCTGAAATCCAAATCTCAGCATTCTGAGTACTAATGTGTTGTTTGTTGTTCAGATGCACCACCCAATCCAGATGAAGCCAGCCGACAGTGAGAAAAACAATGGTAAGGACTTTCTAGCATTTTCATCTGTGTTGTCTGTGCTTTGATAGCAAACAACTCTGTTCATTCCCTTTCTAATAATGTCCCTAAAAAAGCCTATCACTTTTAATAATTATAAATATATCATTTGTAAAATTAATTAGACTGGTGAGACTGTTGAATGACATTAAGTGCGACTACAACTGTTGAAATACCAATTGTGCGCCGTGCTGGTGCCAACCTGTGACTGAATGACTATAGATAGAACAGTTGTGACTAGTTGTAGCTAGATTAACACGCTGTTCTACTTAAGTTACACACTGTTGTTTGGGACCCACCACAGGTTCTCTGCATCATTACGTAGTCTCCATCATTTCCTGGTTTAACCAATGATAGGGTCATCTACAGCAGGCATACGGAGGCAATGACGTACATCTCATATGACATTTGTGCTGGGAGGTCCATTCCCCAGCGATGTGTGGCAACACATTGCTGAACTTTACAAGGAATATTCTCTATTTTTAAAATGTCTGTTAGTGATTGGATGTTTTTAATTTGTTCTCCTTTTGTTAATCTGAAGTGTGTCTGTCAAGTGGAGTTCCTTCCACATGCTAAAAGACAAACCCAACAGATAAATGGTTACGTTCATTACATCTTTTTCTTTTAAATGTAGTTTTCTCACCCACTCTACAGTGTAAATCTACTACGATTGTGTGGACATGACTTTAAACATGTTTATTCTGTTGAGAAAACAAGATAAGTCTTCTCAATTTTTTAAAATATAAGTCAAATCAATAGTGAAGTGCCTATATGCACATGGACACGTTTTTGCTTGCTGTAATTATTTCTCTTGTTCATACTGGCCAATAAAAGGGCTTTCAACGTCAGTGATGGGGCAAAGTCCTTGCTTTGTGCAAAATTGTATTCAAAAGTCTAGTTGAAGCTAATATGGGGCATCAGCGCAGAAGGAGAAGTGGGTATTTAGTCCTCCATCACTTACGTTTGATTCACATTACTGTTGGAAAGGATGTTTTTACAGCCATCTTGAACAAGAGGAATGATTACAGCAAGCCAAGCCTGCTTCAGTTTTGTATGGGCTCCTGACTGTTGTTTTAAGCCAGACTTGAACAATGTTGAACCCATCCTTTAAGTGCCACAGAGCTCAGCTGTTAGACGATGTTGTCCTAAACTTAACTCAAGTGACTTTGATGACATAAGTTGCAAAAGAGCCAAAATGACACATATGTGCATGTTGAATGTTCTATTACACCATTGACCTTGACACAGAGCAGGTGTGTTTGATGTAGTGTTGTGTTGTGTTGAATACAGCAGTGGAGGACAGGAAGCTGTTCATTGGAATGATCTCCAAGAAGTGTAACGAGAACGACATCCGAATGATGTTCTCACCATACGGACAGATAGAGGAGTGCCGGATCCTTCGAGGCCCTGATGGACTCAGTCGTGGTAATATATTCTATATTTATACACACACACACACACACACACACACGGAAATAAATAATATGATCTATTAAACTAAAATATGAATAAAAGAAAACCAATACAAGAGTATTTAGAGACCACTATTATAAGGTACAACGGTGTGGTTAAAGAGACCGTTGTGTGATAGTGGTAACAGCTGCACGGTCAGCAAGTCTCTGTTAACACTGTAAACCAGATTAGAGACACTGTACTTGTACTTGGTCTTTTTTTAAATTAATAATGTGTCACTTGACAGTAATGACAACAGACAATGTAAAAGTGTTATTTCATAGTGATGAACCTCCAGAGAATTATCAGCTGAATCTACAGACTGTGAGAACCCTCTGACGATAGCTGCTCAGCAGCAGACACAGTTAGTTAGCTGGTGAACATCTATCACACGTTTCACTCAGGAGCTGGCAGACGGCACAACGGAGCCAACAAAGAGTGAATATAGGACATCCATCAGCTAGACAGAATGCTGCAATAACTCAGCATGTGTCCAGGGCTACCACTTCTATAAAATATAATCAACAAGGACATGATCATGTATTATTATAGCTTAAACTACCTAGCTGTATATAAAGTAATTAAAATGACTATAATCAAAATTATAATGTAATATATATTATTTTGAAGTGGAATAATGTACTTTTGGTGGCGTCCTATAAGTATATGTTGGTGCCAATATTTTAGTTCTTTACGTGAGTGTTTTGAATGCAGGTCTAGTAACAGACTGTAGTATTGATACTTTACTTAATTAAAGGCCCGGTGTGTAAGACTCATTATCTAGTGGTGAGGTTACTGATTGCAACCTCTGCTCACTCCTCCCTTCCAAGTGTGTCAGAGAACTACGGTGGCCTTCAAGTAGGGATAGCTATATTTAGTATGTTATTACTACTAGGAGCTACTCTTATCAATAATCTGTTATTCCTCATGTCTAAATAATTGCTTTTAAAAACGTGTATATAATTGTAAAAACAGGATGATAATTTGTTCATATTCTAAATATTGTTTCTAGAGCAGAACGGTAATGTGTACAACAGCAAAGTCGCTACATAAAGTCATTAATATCTAAGTGTAAACAAATCTGAAATGTCACTAAAATGACAACATTCCTGAGTGAAGTTTATAAAGAATGAAGAACACAGACATCAGTCAGTGTCAGTCATTCCTCTGTCCTCTGCTGATTGACTGGCTGCAGGTAACGCTGGTAGAGGAAGGAGGAGCTGCTTTGTTTCAGCCAGCAGAGACATTTACAAGAACAAACTAAACTAGAGATTAAACTAGAAAATTTCGCAAGAAATTTTGACAGTGTGGCTTCTACTGCACGAAGACGTCGCAATATATAGCTACACACGCCGATGTTACCGGTAGTATCTTTCAGGTTCGATTGAGATAGCACTTCTCTCTTTTCTGGGAAATGATGGGAGCTAACGCTTAACAGCATTCCAACAATAAGCCCGCAGGATTACAGTCAGTGTGCTTTGGCACAGGCAGTTTTACTGCCTGTGCCAAAGCACACTGAACTACAGACATAAAGCTTTTGTTTTAGCTTGTTTGTTCAAAAATTGCTCTAAGCCGAGCTGGCGTGCTGTGCTTGTGTAAAAATAGAAGCTGTGGATGAGAGACTGTGACAGATCAGAGTAAATTAGGTTTCGCTTCTGTTTACATGTTCATGCTTGTTGAACAGGTATAATGATAAAGTATTGTTTTTTTACTCACAAATATTTTGTTACACTTACAGTAATGAGCGTAGCTGTCATCAACTCGAGTAATCTTCACTTCACCTGGTTCGGTGTCTCTGCCAGCTGACTGTGTGCGTGTGTGTGTGTGTGTGTGTGTGTGTGTGCGTGCGCGTGTGTGTGTGTGCGTGTGTTTGCGCCTGTGTAGTTGGAGGAGCTCCTCCCATAGACTAAGAGCAGAGCAGATGCAAGCTGCAGCATGATAATATATTACACCAGAACATTAAAGTACACATAAAAAGAGCCAGTAACGTTGGAGCTCATCAATGCTCCGGACCAGAGTGCAAAACTCTGATACAAAATAATGTAACCATTAGTGCTGGGCAAGGTAACGCGTTATTATCGCGTTAATGCATTCATTAATTAACGCCAACGACAATTATTTTATCGCGCGTTAACGCAGTTTTTAAAAAATATTATTAAGCGGACATTTTTAACACAAGAACCTGGCAGCGAGCGGTGAACAGCTGTGCTTGTGTGTGTGTGTGTGTGTGTGTGTGTGTGTGTTTTTCTGTGGCGTCTCTTCCTTCTCTTCCTGCTGCTGCGGCTCCCCCCCCCTTCACTCCGTCACCGTCGTCCCCTCCTGTCTCGCGCGCGCGATCCTGTAACGGCGATCGTCTCGTTACAGGATCGTGACAATATCAGAATACATCTTGTCGTGTTTTTAAATAAACATACAAGCACGAGAGAACAAACTGATCTTAACTCAACTCTTTATTAGCATAACTTTCTCATGCTGCAGATTACTGCCACGGTACAGACTACAGGTCTGCTTCGCCTACATTCCCCTGGGTCCTAAGTCCCTCCATGTACAGCTTCTTATCACCCTCTAGATCAGTGTTTTTCAACCTTTTCTGAGCCGCGGCACATTTTTTACATTAAAAAGATCCCGCGGCACACCAACAACCAAAAAAGTTACAAAATGACACCTTTTAGCATAATACTGCAGATATGCCAGGGGTGTCAAACTCAATCCCAGGGAGGGGCAACATAAGAAATTGAGACTACGTTGAGGGCCAAATAGAGTCACCATTTAATAAACAGGATAGAAGGGATATTGGACAAAGTGCAAAAAGAATACATGTTGAGGTAGGCTACATTATTTTATGCATATGTACCAGAGCCAGATGTTTGGCATCTTTTCTTGGCTGCCAGTTCATTAATATCTGGGGTTGGGTTCTGTGGAAACCCTCACGATGGAGTGAAGGTGTGCATCAGTGAGACTCCTGTGTGGGTTTGTGTTCATCTTCATCACAGAGAAAAGCTGCTCACACAGGTATGTGCTTCCAAACATGCAGAGCATTTGAGCAGCATGTAGGCGGAGTTAAGGCATCGTTTCGGGGGTGAAGCTTGTAAACTGTGCAGCGCCTTCAGAGTCACACTTTGCCTTGAGTGTCATTACACTGGAGGTCTATCAGCTCCACAGGTGCTCTTTACACCTCAACTGCAAACGGATTGCTGAGCAGTTCAAATTTAAATTTCTGAGCTGCAAAGTCGACAAATCGCAGAGTGAACTCTGTGCCAAGTGCACCCAGTTTATCAGCAAAATGCGCAGTCGGGAACACAGCGGTGGAGACCTTTACTACATCACACATGTCTGTGATCACATGTCCCCGTCCCTGAAGCTGCAGGTTTAGCGCAGTGAGATGCTTCGTTATGTTGCACATAAAGCCAGCTCACATCGCCACTTCTCGTCCCGGAGCTCTGTGGTGTGGCGGGCCAGTTATGATAAACATTTGATATTTTCTGGCGGGCTGTTGTACCGAGGGCCGGATACATGCTGACAATTTAATGACAAGTCTCTAAATGTGTTGATCCTTATAGGCTTTTCATTTGGGTTATGTTGTCCAGGGCCCAGTTCAGAGTCTGCATTTTTCCTTTTCAAATATTTCACCATCGCTGTTCGTCTTGTCACCCCAACTTCTCCCGCGCGTCATTTCATTCTACTGTCCTAAATTAACACGTCATTACTGCGCTACCTACTGCCACCCACTGGCATGGAAGAGTATTTATTACTTAGCCAGCCACTATATTGCAGCTCAGACACTCAACAATGGCAAAGTATTTGCAACAACTAAATCATATTTTTTTGGACTCATTAAGTGAAATTGGACATTTTCCCACGGCACACCTGACGATCTCTCACCACTGGTGTGCCGCGGCACAGTGGTTGAAAATCACTGCTCTATGCACCAATGTACATTTATAACAAATACCACACATATTACGGTAATCAGCGTTGCATATGTGTCTGACCAAAATACCAAAAAAAGCAAAAAAGAAATGATTCATTTAAATAATTTTTTTAGAGTTTTTAAAGTGTTTTGTTTGTAATATGTATAATAAGCATCATTTAGTTATCACTACTGAGAATTTAACAAACATAAAAACATGACGTAGATAGGTTTGCAGTTTTCAAAGTGTATATTTCAATTGCATCTCTTACACACACGAAGATAAAGTTGTGAACACCGGCTGAATATCTATGATCAGAATCATTATAACTGTGTTATAACTGATACTGTGTAAAGGGAATACTGCTGCTAACAAGAACCTGATGTGTTCAAAGTGTTTACAAACCAAATGTTATTGACCTTTTGTTCATATAGCAGTACTTTCAAGATAAAAGTGCACAATACACTACTTCTGAATTCATTATTGAACTTTGCGCATAACAATGCAATTAATCGTGATTCAAAATTGTAATTGTTGCCCAGCACTAGTAACCATACATTCAAGGGCTATCTACCTACATATTCAATCAGTAACATGTTGCGCATGTCATCAAAGTCTTTCTACTTACAACCAACATATGAAATCTGCATTCTCAATATACTCACTGGCATTGCCACTCAGAGGACCAGAAACAGCAGGATGAAGAAGGATACAACTCTTGAAGAACACAGCTATCTTGTCACAAAAACTGGAAAAATAAGAACTCTACTTTCTGTCACATGTGCCACCCACGTATTAGTTGAATACTGCACCATCTACACTTAACACTAGGTGGTAGTAATTGCTTCAAATAATATACAGTTCCATTACAGAAATAATAAAAGGGTTGCCTTTTACACACACAACTTTCAGATACAGTTCATGCTGTACAGCGTGTGCACGGTTTACCTCTCCATCTGCTGCTGTTTGTACACCTGTCTGTCCTCCTTTCTCTCTCCAAAGTGCATTCGCGCACATATTTCGCCTATAGTTGTTTTTACCTTTTAAGTTTGTTTTGGAACCACGCAGTAAAGTAAAGTAATGTCATGCAACGTGAGGTTTGTAAAATAGAAGCTCTGAGATGTTTCTTCAGAGAAATCGTCATGAGTTGTGGTTCTAAACATTGTGTTTTTCTCTTTTAGGTTGTGCATTTGTGACATTTACAGCGAGACAAATGGCCCAGTCAGCCATCAAATCCATGCACCAGTCCCAAACCATGGAGGTGAACTTCAAATATACACTACAAACATTATGTGGTGTTGTAAAATTGTGACCCTGATTTCAAAATTGGTGGATTATAGTGTCTCTGCTGTTACAAAGAAAAATAGTTTTGAGTAGCAGAGCTTTTTTAAATGGTCTTTATTATTTCATTTGCTCTTCAGTTTAAAGTGAATGACATGATGTCAGTACACCATGCTGTCAGTGTAAAGGTTTACCGTCTGTGTTTAGGGCTGTTCATCGCCTATTGTCGTGAAGTTTGCAGACACTCAGAAGGACAAGGAGCAGAAGCGTATGGCCCAACAGCTGCAGCAGCAGATGCAGCAGCTCAGTGCTGCTTCAATGTGGGGGAATCTTACTGGGCTGAACAGCCTGGGGCCACAGTACCTAGCAGTGAGTGTGTTCAGAGGGCCTGTGTGTGTTGATGCTAAATGGAATGGTTAGCCTGTTCACAAAGCAATTTCCCCAGTTTAAACTTCACTGTCACTTCCACTTCAGCACGCTGTTTCTCATATTGCTGGCTTTAGCTCTACTTACAGCTGCTGCAGCAGTCAGCCTCAACGGGGAATGCACTCAGCAACCTGCACCCTGTTTCAGGTACGCACACACACACTTTAACAGACATTCCACCATGAAATATCATGCAGTCATGTATGATTAAGATTTCCTTTTTTTGTGTCTGTATTGTTGAATGCTGAATGATAATCAAAAGGTTCATGTCATCCCTCTGGATGTCCAGCCTCCAACACGTCCTTACATACTGTTTTTCTATACGATAGTGGTCAGATGAAGGGATGGGTGGAGTCTTCAACTTAACCGTGTGTATGTCTGTCAGGTCTTAATGCCATGCAGAACCTGGCTGCTTTAGCAGCAGCAGCAACTGCCACGCCCACAGGCTCCAGCGCCATGACAACATCTAGTAGCCCTCTCAGTGCACTAACAAGCTCAGGTAAAGAAACTCCAGTACTGTTACATAGTCCAGCTACATGCAGGAGGGCTGAGTGGTATGGTGACATCCATGTCCACATAAACACCTGCACATTTATACATAACTATATAATATATCAATTAACTAGTGAGAGAGCTGCCAGGTATCCACAACAATTGTTTATCAAACATTCATTCTTCAAATTTAAATTTTCTCAGATTTCCTATTTTATGATTTCTTTTGATAAACGCTTTGTCTAATATTTTCCAGTTGACTTTATCACAGCATTAACACTAAATGTTCCCCGAGTAGGCTCCTCCCCCACCTCCAGCAGCAACTCATCAGTGAACCCGATGGCTTCTTTGGGGGCCCTACAGTCTCTGGCTGCTAGTGCTGGAGCTGGCCTCAACATGAGCTCCCTGGCAGGTACGAACCCTCGGCTGGACCCGTGCCTTTCCACTGATGAGATTACTGCTAGTCAGCATAATTGATGTAAACCTTTGTCGTAAAGATTCACCCAGCAGACAAGGTTGTGAATCTAATGTAGTGTGAATGTGTGTTGAGCCGACCATTATGGAGACTAAAGTAATGCCTCACTCAAACTGCAGTGGTGTGAGGCCAGTGCCAGGTGTTTATGATTGTGTATTAGTAGAATAACAGTGGTAAGATATGTTCATTTGGTCAACACAATATAGTAGTATAGGGTGAACATCACTGTCTGCTGCTAAGTTGCAGTGACATCAGTATGAGTGATAATATTTGACCTTTCCACCCATGTATCTCTGATGCAGGCATGGCAGCGCTGAACGGCGGCCTCGGCTCCGGAGGCCTGTCTAATGGATCAGGAAACACCATGGAGGCTCTGAGCCAGGCCTACTCGGGCATCCAGCAGTACGCTGCTGCTGCCCTTCCCAGCCTGTACAACCAGAGCCTGCTGTCTCAGCAGAGCGTCTCAGCCGCAGGCAGCCAAAAGGAAGGTGGGTTCAGTGGGCTGAGGTTAGAAAAAAGGAGATGGCATGGGGACAGTTGGGATGAAATGACAGGTTAAAGAGCTGCAGAGAGAGCACGAGGAGCTGGGGGGTGTGTACTGTGTAGAGCATGCTGCTAAGTGCTCCTTTCTTCACTCACATTTTGGAATCAAATTGACCAAACACTCTAAGGGTGAAACTAAGGGTGCATCCCAAGTCTCTTAATTACAGATGCAAATAAGTAATATAAACGCATTCTTCCAGCAGAAATGGTTCCTGTGCCTCTAAGCAGGACACAGTGTAAATACAGAATGCAGGTGGGTTTTCATGTGCAGGTGTTTGTTAAACAGGTAACAGGCTACAGTTAAGTCATAACTTAGTTATCCAGCTTAGTGCCCCCCCCCCCCCAGGGATGCATAGAGAGACGCAAGGAAACCATGTGAGGAGAGAGGAAACGAGGAAATATGTACATCAAAACATGAAAACCCATTATTAGGCTGAAAAATTTAAATGATGTAATTCATATCAAAGCCAACGCTCAGGAATGATCAACCTCACACGACTGCATGGAAATGAGGGTAAATCATGTACAAAGGAGTTCTTACTGACAGACAGGCAGTCTCTCCCGCTCTCTCTCACTTTCATTTGATCCATAATAAAAGTTAATGGGAGAAGAAAGCGATCAGTGGTAGAGATGTTTGTGTGCTGTGTGTTGACCTCACCTTCTGCTAAGAATTCTGTCCTGTTTCAAATCTGCTGCGTCAGCCAGCCACAGTCGCAGCACCGGTAAGACGTCACCACCTTCTCTTTGACATCAGATAAACAGCTGAAGACTTGTCCTTGTTTGAGTGTTAGCCCTCCTATATGCTATGCTATGCATACTTTATACTTATGTGGTACTACAGAGCCCCCCAGGGGTCATTGGGTGGACAAAATCTGAATGTGGGAATTCCGATTGGCAGACCGCGCGCACAGCTTCAACTTTGTAACCTCATTCTCACTGGTTGTGAAAATAGATATATATTCTGTATTGTGAAATTCACTTTTTCTAGTTACTGCCAATCACTCAAGATTATTAGGCCTCCACGGCAACAGCCGGGGCCAGCCCATAGTTCTGTCTGCCCGGTTATGTGAACGCAATATCTCAGAAACATCTGAAGGGAATTTCTTCAACTTTGGCACACACGCCCACTTCCACTCAAAGTTGATCTGATTAGAATGTGGTGGTTAAAGGTCACTGCGACCTCACAAAACACGTTTGTGGCCAAAACTCAAACATTCAAATGCTAATTAGGATCATTTTACACAATAAAGGACAGCCCTATGAACACAAAGGTCTGTCCCTGACTGAGTGAGTGATGAAGTTACACCATTGGTTGGTCGAGTGTTGAGTGAAACTAACAAACCTCGACATCAAAGTTATTTGCTGTTACTGGTAGTTTAACCCCGGGACTACTTTTATCAAGGTACAAAAAGGTTCTTTCAGCCCATTGTTGTTTTTTGTTTCCATAGCGGTCTAAAGATCTGTGAAGATTAGATACAGCGTATGACACAGCATGGTGGCATTGGACCAGGGCTGCTGCTGGACACACTAGCTTCTGTCTCACTGAGACAACGCATAGTATTTACTGATGCACGTTGGATGACATGCAGAGGAGGAAAATTAAACTAAGAGCGTCTTTGTCCACAGCAAATCATCGGTTTGATGATTGTTTGTTTGTGCTTTAGAACATAATCACGGTTAAACAATCAGAAAGTCACTCTTTTTCTCTCCTCTCAGCTCGCTCCAGCCAACAGCAAAGCCTAACTTTACCTTTAATCAAACATAGAAAAATGTCTGTAATGTTATTGACAGACATTTGCAAACCTTGTGAAAAAAAAATAATGTACATAAATTGGCTAAAAATACCCGAACAAAGCATTTGTTGCTGAGATACTGAGATAGTGTGTCTGTAATGTAAACAGGATGTGGGGTGGAACGTACCATATGAAACAATAAAAGGCGTGAAACAGTACCAGGTAATTATTTCTGATAGAAAGACACCGAAAGTAATCAAAGTAAAAGTAAAGGGATTACTGTAGCAACTGACTCCATGTGTTATCCGGACTACACATTGGTTACATCAGACAACTGAACCTTAATGTAATGAAGCAGCAACTTGATCCTGTAACATGTCAACATAACTGACCTGCTCAGTAACTCAAACATCAGCAGCCACCATTGGGACTGTACTGTGTCCATGTTCTACAGAGTAAGACACAGATGTTTCCCCTTTAATTCTTCAGACACTGTCTGTCAATCATTACATTATATCACGTTATCATCATTAAGGTATGTGATAATCATAATGCTCGTAACTTTACACACACTGTCCAGCTGTCCACTACAGCTTTTGGGCATGTTGGCAACTAGATGCTGTTTTTGTCTGAGTTGTACAACATTGTCAAGCAAACTCCTTAGAGTTTGGTCATTTGTTCTTCACATGTACCTTCAACCTTCTCCAGACACACCATGCAGTAGCAATGTTATGGTTGTGGGTGGTTTACCAATCTGCATGCATGGATCAAACCATTTGATCACTCAGTTTATGAATCTGTTTTTGTTAACTTCTGGAGCCCTGGGGGAAAGAATGACATGGATTTATTGAGTCATTTGTGCAAATGTTACTGTTTGATGTTTGGTAAAGCAGATGAATTGATTGGCAGGTCCAGAAGGTGCCAACTTGTTCATTTACCACCTGCCCCAGGAGTTTGGAGACCAGGACCTGCTCCAGATGTTTATGCCCTTTGGAAATGTCATCTCTGCTAAGGTCTTCATTGACAAACAGACAAACCTCAGCAAGTGTTTTGGTGAGTTCATGCAAGCCACTATATATAAGCCGTTTTATGATCAATGAAATATTTCAGTAATCTTATTGTATAAAGTTTCAAGTTGTACTCGGAGTGTTCCAGTATCACAGGGTCCTGGGACAGAGGATGTCCTACAGATTGTAAAGCCCTCTGGGACACATCTGTTATTTGTGATTTTGGGTTGTTCAAATATATTCAAATCAAGAAAATGTTCCGTTGATAGTGGCCATCAATATCACAGCTAACTAAACTAGACGATTCAAGTGAGCATCATCCCAAGTCTTTCTACTACCAGATTCCTTTCTTTTTGTTTCCCCCGACAATGTTCCTGTGTTGAGATCGTACTGAGAGGGCTGAACTTTGGACTTTGGACCTTTGTACTTTAAAAAACACCCACTTCATTTTAGTAACTCAGATGGCTGATACTGTATTAGGAGCAACCAGGGGCGTTTCTAGGATTCAAAGAAAGGGGGGGCTTAGCCTGAAGGGGAGCGGCATTTTTGCGTGCGTAGCGTGCGGCAATTTTCTTTGGGGCCCATTTGGGGCTGCGGATATCCATTGTTTCAGACAGTTCATAGATTGGTTCAATCAGAGAGAGTGTGATTTTGCTCTGTAGTTTTGCTTGCATTCAGTATATAATAACACAAGAGACAGAATTTCAGGGTCATAGTGAAATTTGACAACACAAATATGAACTTTTCTCAAATAAAGAGAGAAATAATTTTCCTGCTTGTAAAGGAAAGATGGATAAACTAGCTTTCATATCCGCGTCACTCCAAAATCCTAATTCTTAAAGGGACCGCACACAATGGATGGAGAATGGACCTGACAGTGTCAACTTTATATCGTTAAGTATGATGATAGGCTATTATATAAACCAGAACGCACGCACATATGTAGCATGTTAGAGTTATAAATAACTTGTCCATGTGAGAAACAATAGTTTAATTTAATGACATCACCAAAAAAAAAAAAGATTTTTTTTTTTTTTTTTTTAAAGACAATAATGCCAAATTATTTGGGGGGGCTGAAGAACATTTTAGGGGGCTTCAGCCCCCCTAAAATAGGCCTAACGACGCCCCTGGGAGCAACTAAAGTTAGGATCATTTTTGCACACAAGGATGGAGGATTTTGTCCTCCAAATGAATCAGTGCACACAAGGCCAAATATCACCAGCTTCTGTCAAGCAATATAGCAATTAAAAAGCCATCTTTTAAAGTCCAGTACAATGCTCACTCCACATTAAACACACCAGGGCTACATAACATCACCTCCAGCAAACCTCACAGAAACAGATTGTTTTAACCAATCTCTCTGGTCTAACTCCGATAAAACACAGAATCCATCAGCACGTTAGCGTGTCCTTCCCTACCAAGCCTGTCTGTACTTTAAGCATTCTTGCAATTCGACAACTTTCTCAGTAATTGTTGGGAGGACTGGAGAGGATTAGACGGATTTTTTGTAAATAATGTGGGGATGAGTTTCAAGTTGTCTTCTGTTTTCTCCTTCAGGCTTCGTGAGCTATGACAACCCTGTGTCATCACAGGCAGCCATCCAGTCGATGAACGGTTTCCAGATTGGCATGAAGAGGCTGAAGGTGCAGCTGAAGCGCTCAAAGAACGACAGCAAGCCTTACTGAAGGTGCTGAGGCGCTGCAGACTTGGTTAGGCAGGGTGGTGTTATGGTAAGTTGAGTATGAATAACCCAGACTGGTCCGCTCAGAAACCTATCTATGCCTTACAGGGTGATGTCTGCTGTGCTGCTTCTTCTGGTCACTATACCATGTCCAGGCAACGAGTCACATGAAGCTACATGCAGCTACATGCAGCTACATGCAAGAGTGTTCAGGCTGGACCGGGTTCTCCCTGTTATGTTGTGGTTTATTCACTTTGTTTTCCTTTGAAACCAATAAGAGGAACAGGTGCATTTTTATTTAAGTTGAAATGTTATCAGTTTGCTGTGTGCTGTGTACATAATACACATATGAGTTGATTGTTAGTATATGTTGCACAGTCAGGTCAGATAGGTGCCAAATCCATCTGTTTTTACTTCTTGTTCACCTTCCCCTCCTCCAGCAGCTTAAGCAGAGAGACACATTGAGTTAGGAAACAGAAACATGAATAGGTTTTCTTTTACGTTGTCACAAACCAGAATGGCTGGTTTTCCCTACATGTGTTCTAGATATCTGTATTATCCTTTGAAACAGGTATTGTATGTGACGTACACAGAAATGAGTGGTAAGGTAAGGCACAGAAGCTGATGTCCATGAGGAGGAGCCCCACTTCAACATGCACATGCCAGTTCTACATTTGTGTTGTGCTGTGTCTAGATCAGTGGCGAGTAAACCTGTGGATACTGTGAACATCGTGTTCCTGTCGTGTGCTGTTTCCTCTGAGCTAAAGTCCCTGAAGTCAGGTGAAACCTCCGACCCACAATGGTTGCTCTGTTAACTGTCATCTTAGCGCTGTGGTCTGACAGGACTGCCACCTGATTGTGAGCTACATCTGAAGATGACACATTAATGCACGGTTATGGTAAATGGAATTTACATCGACACACATTAATACACTGATGGTGGCACCCTGCGCATGAGGATCTGCTCCAAATGCAGAGTTTCATGTGGCCTCTGGTGGAAGGAGACACATTTACATGTGGGTTGTGTTGAATTCAGACATTAGCTGGAATTCATCTCTGAAAGACATGGATGTAATATCTCTGTCAAGGCTCATGGCATTTATTGTATTTTTCTTTATCAGGAGGTGAAAGCGATGCAGGTGAAGCTGCATGTAAATCTAGTTTTCTGGAGGACTGAACACGGCATGTTTTAGTGGCGCTCCTCCTGTGCTGTTGCACTCTTAGTGACAGGTCAGAGGTCGGGCCTGTGTTTTGTAAAGATTCAGCAACATCCCTCGGTTACTGTGCTACTAGCGAGCAGCTCATCTGTGGAGGGCTACACCACTGTGTCTCTCCCTGAAGATCTCCTGTGATTGGATCATTCATATGAATGTCAAACTGCTCAAGGCAACCTGTTAGTTGCCTAGACTTGCAAGACATGTTTTTTTTTTTAAGTAGGAACCGAGACAATTGTTGAGATGTATATTTAAACTATTATGCCTTTTCTATTTTTATATAGGTTTTATACTTCCCCTGTGTGTTGGGGAACTATTTATTGCCTTAATTATTTATCTGAATTGAAATTCTTTTGAAAGACAAATGTAAAGTCCAACAATTCCATTCGATCTCCTGGTGTGTGTGCTCTCCTTACCTGTTGTGTGTGTTTTCCTTTTGGTGATGTGTACTTTGTGTCGTTGTGGCATGGACTGTGTGTAGGATCCATCAGTGCTGCTACACACTTCATAGAACCCCCTCTCTGTCATACATGCCTTCATCCAAATAAAATACTCGTTTTCCAAAAACACAGGAAGCATAATTTATTCTAAAAGTGAAGTCTAACATGTTTCTGTTGCTCCTGTCTTTCTATGTGCAAAAATAGTGATCTTGTGTGTCGTCAACAACGTTTCACCAGGCAAAGTCCTGTAAGTCCTGTGCACATTAGCTAGAATCTAGCAGTACTAGAACGTGTTTTAAAAGTCACCATGTCTTGTGTAATGTTGTCCCATTTACTCACTTTGATGTTAGCACTGGAGCTTTCTTGGTATATTGTGCACCAGAGCATGAATATGTATCAGGGACTCTGAGTCGCAGCTGATCCAGCTGCTGTCTCTTAAGACCACTGTTTGATTGGCGCTCTCTCTCGTGGGGAGTTGGCGGTTTAAAAGTAGTGACCTCCAGAAATCTAAACCTCAGCAATAGTTGCACAATGGTTAGCTGTGATGTTCTGATGTGATGAAAATACATAAGTACTGGTATGGTGCTTCATTTGAAGCAGCAGTAGTATGGAGCATTTTACTATATACTATACTTTTTATACAATTTTTAAAAATTGTATAATTGAATTGCCAGTTAACACTGTGTAAGAAGAACAGATCAGTATAAGTCAATATTCCAGTAGCTCTCCATCCTCCATGTGTGACTAACTGTGTTTAGATTGCATGCTGGACTGTAGCTGCTGGTCCAGAACTCTGGAGGCCTCCTGTGACCTGCATGTGGTCACTGATTCTGTGCAGGCATTTTATTTTGGCTGTCTTGTGTGTGTTGTGTTCCTGGTAGCATGTGGTTAGTCCTCACCGTGTTCAGACTGTAGCGACACCACACACAGCTGCTCATTCTTGGTTTCTTTTCTCTTTCCTGTCTGTGTTCCTTTGCGGTTTAACCGAGGTTTGTCTCCCTGTTGTGTTTGTCTTTTTGTTTTTTCCAGATCTCTTCCTGTTTGCCCTAGCATGTTGATGTGGCGTCACAGTTCATCGTCCAGTCCTTGTCTTCTGCGCTTCTCTGACGCTCCCAATTTCACCATTGACCTTGTGTTTGGCATTACTCACCAGGAGGTTTTAGTTCTGTTGTTTCCCATATGTCCTCTGTGCTTCAGCAGGGGCACTAGAAGGACTGCCCTGGAACACGTTTGAACGTTACATTCAAATGATCACGAGCAAAGAGAATCTATTTTTCTAGAACAGACTCTCATAACTAATAGATTTTTGCTAAATCAGTTTGACACAAGTCTGAGCTTTAGCTTTGTTTTGTTTGACCTCCTGTGTTGTGGAGCAGTCCTCCCGGGGCCCCCGTCCTCTGGTTCTGTTGGGTTTTTGTGGTGTTGTGTGTGAGTGCTGGTGTGTGTATCCTAAATTAGAAACACCCATCAAGCAAGTTAGTGATCATGTGTTGTGAGATATTCATTCAATGCAAGGCTAGCTACGGGTTCATCATTTGAGTGATGCTATAAGTAGGTCACATTTGTCAGTGTAAAAATCAGTTTGACTTTTCGCCTATTGACTGACCACTGCAAGCACATGGTGCTGTTGTGCTCTTTTCTTGTGTGGAGAGTCGGACACAATCCACAGAGGAGAGACCTTTGTCATAGGTTATTTGGTATGCATGTTTTTTTGTTTTTTTTACATAACTGCACTGAAATTCTTGGCAAAATGTGATCTTATTTGTGTTAAGTTAAATGATGAATAAACTGGTGCCAAATGTTTTGCACAATCAGTATTTCATTGGACTTGCTTTACTGGTCTGACTGGTTGCAGCAGCAGAGGTCGGTTGCTGTGGCATCGTGTCCAGAAGGCTTTCCTAAAGAACCAACTAGCTGCAGCATTACATCAGTCTATTGTGGAACTATGCAGACCTAGAGTGCTGACAGACCAATATCAAACACAAGTGGCCGACTCATACACAGCGGTGTGTATACTGTTTGTGTGTTTTCATTGAATATAAGCCAGAGACCCACTCTCATTCAGGGGGCAGTCTGTCTGTCTCCCTGACCAGTGGACCAACACTGGGACTGATACTGAGAGTAATAATTTACCCATGATCTCACCCTGAGTGAATATACGGTCGTACTTAATTTTATGAGTCCCGTAGTTCAGCCCATTCAAAGACTGAAGTGTGACTGGGTTAGGGTTGTAACTTGGTACCAGTGGGGTCTCTGTGTGTCAGGCCTGTGATACTCTGCCGTGGTCAATTCATTAATTCCCATTCATTGCTTGTGTAATTCAAAAAAAGAATTTGGTTAGAGCAAACTGGGTCAGCTGGGTGAACAATACAAATGAACATGTTGACAATAAAATTCCCAATAATAAATGATGACCTTGCAATTAAGATCAGATAAACCTTTATTGATCTCCAGCAGGGACATTTGTTTGTTCCATTACAAGGTTCTATCTACTTCTGAAATGATTCCTCGACGTGTCGGCATCAGCTAGTGTAGGTGTTTTAGTCATATCTCTAACTTATGTAAGGGTCTTTCTGCAAAGCTTCAATCAGTGCCCTACATGTAGACAGGAGGAGCGATGGGGTTCTGCCTCTTTACCATGTTGCCTCACTACTCCATGACGGAGGTTAAAAAAAGCTGCAGAAATCAAGAAATATAGTTTGATCTCATGTTTTGAAACCTCTACATTGATGATTTTATGGAAAACCTTATAAATGACATGATATAAAATATTTCTTTACCTAGCTACAAGCTTAATGTTAATGTTATTTTTATTATTTTCAATGTAGGTATCTGAGATTAATGTCTAGTTAGCTAATTGCTGATTCTTTGATCTCTACAACTAAGAAAGACTAAACTGTCAGCTTCTTTCCTAAAGATGGTGGCCTTCTGTAGAGCCTTAGCAGATAGAATATTCTCATTCCAAGGTTATTGATAATGAATGACTCTACCAACAAACTCAAATTCAAATAACTTAATCTCTTTGGTAAACTTTTCAGGAAGTTTTATTCTAAATTTGAGTAAATGAAAGACCCTTTTTAAATTCAGCGTCACCAGAATATTCTTGGAACACGTATTTAATTGAAGGACCATAACGGTGTTTCAGTTGCAATTAACACAATTATTATTTTTAGCATACCTTACTTATAATATATTCATGTTCACCTACAATCCAGTTTTTCATAGAGCAAAAGAACCAAAGTCCTGTTTTCTAAACACAAGCACAAGAACTAAGTGAAATATCTAAAAATGGCAAAAGTATATGTTAAATCAAGAACTGTCTGTTTAAAAATAAATAATTAATAAATAAATAAAATTACAAAATTATGAATTCTGAGCAGACATTTGATACAACTTTCAATCCTACATATTTTTCAACAGTGCATGGAAAGAGTTTATTGAAGATCTTTTCACTCTGTGTCCATACACTATGGAAATGAGCATGGAGGCACTTTGTTATCCGAGTCTGTTTGTTACTTATGTGAGTGATGTTGTTTAGTAGTGCAGAGCAGAGATGTGTTCAGTCATTCAGCTCTTACAACTGCACTACAAAACAGAAGGTGGGAAAACTACAGAAACCTGGAAGGGACACAAAGGAGACAAAGATAATACAAATGAGGGGAAAAACCACTTGTGTGCTCTGGTGAACGTTGGTGTTTTCTTCAGACGTATTGGGCCAGTGTTCCTCCAGCAGCAAGACGTCCCATCACAAAAAACCATCACTGCAAATGTATCCACGGTTGCCTTCTTTTTTTGTGATGACATGACAAACAGGAGTAGATCTGTTTCAATCAGATGCTCTACATCTGGTTCATTTAAGGGAATCTTCCTGTCTTGGGAAGAATTGTGTAAAGTATTTCTACCTGGTGCAGTTTGAGTGAACAATTACAGTATCACTGCACATTAACACTGAAACTATTTAAAGGTAAAAACACAAACTGAGCCTTTTGAAGTATTTCTGTGAAGTTGCCTTTTGCTCCATTGCATTGGAGTACATGCATGTTTTTTTAGAGAGGGATCTGTTTGTCCCGTGCTTGGATTGTTTTTAAGCTTTGAATGTTTCTGCACCACGTTAAGCTGCAGTGCAATCCAGCTACAATATCTGTGAGACGACTGTGTGATCCTATTGCTTGGTTGTTTGATTTTCTGTACAAATAAAATGTTTGAGAAACCCTTGTATTTCCTGTGTTTTCTGTCAGAACTACAACAGTGTGATTCCAGTGTATTTCTGGGAGATAGGTAGGCTACTGCCAAAGTTAGCCATCTACAACAATCTACACAATCCATAAGAAGATACTGGGATTTGTGCTTGGATTGTGTCCAGGAGAGCACTGTTGGCATTGGCCAGTGTCCCCTCCTTCCTGGCATTAAACTGGCCTTAAACTGGCAATAAGATTGACACAAATCTATCCCACCAATGAACACCCAAAATTTATGAAATAATTAATTTCCCGAAACTAACTAACGCAGTGGTGGGCCATCGGGGCCAGCTAAGCCTTCTCTGCTGGCCTAAACAGAATCACAAAGTTATATCTATTTTATAATTTAATAATTTGTCATAAATACACTACATGTATTGTAATTATTTTTCCTATTATCTTATTTTCTCATTGCACAGCTCCTGTCTTCCTCTGTTGCTCTGCTTCCAGCACAGCTTGTTTTAAGTAGAGCTTTTATCCAATCAGATTCAGCCCCTATGTCTCTATGTAAGGAGAGAGGCCGTAGTGCAGCTTTTAGTGTCAGTATTGCAATGTGGTAGCCGTGGTGCCTCAATAATCATTTGCCATCAATCGTAACAAAACTTGTTGGATGCATTGTCTGTCAGTGGATTTGTTAATTAGTGATGTATTGATGAGGAAAACTGTATTGCAAAAGTTAATGGTGAATTGTTTATATGATTCCCGCTTAGCTAACAAAGCTAGTTTCCTAACTAAGCTCATATCCTATGCTAATTTCTTACTGACTTATTAGCATAAAGCAGTAACAAATTGCTTTAAGATGTCAATCCTTTCACTGGCCACTTCCATTGCTCGTTTTTGATGGACCATGAGTTCCAACATATGCAAAAATGCAAAATAGAGATGGCGTATACCAGGAGATGCAGGAACACGTGTGGAAATGTTGTATTGTGCGAGTTATGAACCAAAAGGCGTTTATTTTTACAATAGAGCCCCCTTATGGTTAGGATGGTTGTTTTTTTTCTAACAAATATTTGCAAGTGCTGCTAGGATTACTGTCTGTTAAATTTTCGCCTTTGCATCGTTGACACGACCATTTTAACAGAATAATAATGCTAATAGTAATAATAACAACGCTGGTGCTTGGGCCCAGAACAAACAATACGTTTCATTTATCACCGTTGGGTTTTAGACAAAAAAAACTCTGTATGCAAAATGATTCTATTCCATTTGGCCGAGTCTTCTGTCTTCCTTTTGCGATTATCAATTTAAGGCTGATGAGAACCAGAGTGTGAGGAGTCTGATATGTACCATTTCCCCATGGTACATGAATGCAACACACCAGCAGAGGAACTCTCCCTGCGCATGCGCCCAGTATTAGCATTACGAGTATACTCTAATGTCTGTTTGTGCTTCTAAAAGGTGTGTTGTCATTTAGTCACATCGGTGTGTTTTTGTTGCACGCATATGTTAGTGTCCTTGGAGCGAGTCAGTGTCCGTCCATGTATCGCACAGAGAAGCTGTAGCTACCGCACAGCCGAGCAAACGGACTATGTCTGCAAATAAAACAAAGAAAGTCAAGATGGCTACTAAATCTTGTCCTGAATGCGACCAACAGGTGAGGAAAATACATATCTTCAGTTTTGAACGTTGTCGACAGTGAACCGTATGTACTGTCGGTAACGTTGTGTACTACAGTCCCGCTGTGTCGGCGGTGTCTTCAGAGGACAGCCTCACGGGCTACACGCTGTGTTTGTGTTCACCAGAGGAAGCCTCCGTGTTCTCTCATCTGCTCATCTGGTTACACACCTTTTCAGTCATTTCGTCTGTTAGCGTGTTTTTTAATGTTATGTGTTAATATTGTATCATTAGTTGTTCTCCCAAGAATATAGAGTAAACGTCCATATAAAGCCACTTGCAACTTCTAAATCAAATAATTCAACCACGTCCTTTTTGTTTGCTGTGAAATGAAGCAACGTGAGATCTCTTCTTTCTGACAAGAAGAAGAGTTCACAGAACAATGTGACTGTGACTAACATTTGAAAAACAGTTACAGTTATTATTTAATTGTAAATCCTAATATTGACTCATTGCTAAGAACTTATAATCAGGGCTGTTTTCAGGACGTTGTTTTTGAACCTTGCTTCAGGAACACTCTTAATTCAGAACGACCTTCTCGGAAAGTCTTCCTGGTGATTTCAGGAATCTGGAAATATCTTCAATGTCTCAAAAAAGATTCTCTTCCTTACGTCTTGCCAGCTTCAACGACCAATCGTGTGTGCAGTCTCTCCTGCTGTCCCCTCTGAACACCTCTTAAACAGTTTGCCATAAAGGCGATGGGATCACTCCGCTTAATATTGCTTTTATGGTAAATGTATTTACATCGGGTCTTTCTAGTCTTGGTTTGCATAAAACACAATGCAAATGATTATAGATTAAAACACCCTTTGAGCGACTGTTTTTAATCTGTGGTTCACATGGAGCGGGATCCGTACGGAACACCAATCCACTTCAGTCCCTTACCCCCCCAAACACAGGAGCACACATTGTGAACATACTGTATAGTCACTTGGACTACTTCTGAATTATACCTGTCCTTTAGGTTCACATGACACCAGTTCCACATGTGTGTAATATATTGCATTATTTAACTGGCTGATAGTCCTGATAAACACATTGATGCCATCCTTAGGTTGAAGCTAACCTTTTAACCCCCGAAACCGTAACAGTAATTTAATCTTCTATGTTTCCCGGTTGATTCTCTCTAGATTCCAGTTGCGTGCAAGTCCTGTCCGTGTGGTTACGTGTTTATAAGCAGAAAACTTCTAAATGCCAAATTAAATGAGCGCTCTTCTCCAGCTATAGCAGGTAAGGTTCTACCTGCATAAATTATGCCTGAAAATGTTCAAAATGTTAGTTTGATTCTTCTCCATGTGTGTTGAGCAAAGTCATGTTAATTCTATGACATTGTTCAGTACTGCTCTTTATTTTGTGAAGTCTCTCCGTCTGCCATGGATTCATGAAGACTCAGCATAGAGACCTCTGGTGACAGCACAGGCAGGGCCGTAGCCAGGGTTTTAAAATCACAACTGTGATCTTTAAATGGATACTATTGTGAAGGGGCTCTGAGGGGCCTCCCCCAGGACATTTGCAGCATCAAGCACTGAAAACCCGTCAACATCTGAAAAGGAAGAGTGGGGATTAGATTTAGTGCAGCAGACTTTGAGACGATCACCGCCGACCGACCAGCCACACCTGCTGGACCAAACGCCACCAAACTGCCCCAAGGAAGAGAGGAGAGCCGAGATGGAAGCTAAGCTAACCCAGCTAGGACCTGAGGCTACTCCACTACCCAGCGGGAGGTCGGTGACTGTTGAGCCCACATCTTCATAGAGACCTGGATCTATCATGGTCCACGATCAAGCAGCACTTGAGGGGTGGACAGCAGGACAGAGAGCAGGACTCTGGTGGACTCTGTGTTCACATCATGATGCTTGGTGACAATGTTTTCCTCATGTTGAGTTTTTAATGTGAAGATGTCGGCCATGTTTTCTGACCAGATAAATGTTTTTGTTGCTGCTGTTTACGTTCCTTATCATGCAAATTCAAAAAATGCACTACAGGAAGATACTCCTGTTTTGTTTGTTGTGCTGTAAATGTGCTACAACTGAATTTCGTTGTGCATCCCTGTGTTGCATAATTACAATAAATGATCCTTGGATTTTCTGCATTCTGGTGACTTTTCATGGTGGAAATGTCTTTATTTATGTGAAGAAAAACAAAATCCTGATGAGAGGCACTCTGTATTGCTTTTAAATATTTCCAGTGGATCGACTTTTTTCATTTAATGTTATCTCTGCTGAGTCAACAAACATGTAGGCATGATTTACTCTTCTTCTTCTGTTTGGGGAACAAACCTCTGAGAATGTTAATATTATGAGAGTCAACCTGCCCTATAATCTGCCCTTATGTTATTGCTCTGCTGATATAGTGCCATCCCCTTGAGACTTGGGATTCTCTCTGGATGAGACAATGTTTAGACAAGCAGATATTATCTACTGTGCATACTGTATATCACCAAGTGTGACTTTAGTTTTTGTGTGTTAAGTTGTTGTCATGTGTGCAGAGCACTGGACTGCCTTCTCCAGTCTCCCCACCCTGCACATCTTACACCACAGATAGCCGTGTTATCGATAAACATCAGCTTCTGACAGTGTTTTTTTGAAAGAAAAGGGTTACTGAGGTGGGGCCCTCTGTGACCTCATAGCTGGCTGTGGCCATGATCACAAGCATTGTCTAGTGGCCACCATTAGCTCCGACTGCGTCCTCACAACACGGCACAGCTGTGCCCGGTGGACGCTACTAACTTGCACAAACCTCGGTCAGATAAAGGACTTATGACTCTACTAGACTAACATATTCCACTTAACAACGGGATGGCAAGTATGGCACGTCAACCCATCACATAGAAATCATAAATCATGACAAATAAGAGTATATGTTTTATGAATATGGGGATAAGTCAGGCAAGTTGCTGGACAATCAGTTGATGGGTGTGAAAGGCAATCATTGTATTATGAAAATCTGAATGGATAATGAAGAGATCACCTCGGAACAAGCTGAAATTAGCAAAGCATGAAATGATTAATGATAATGATGAAACATCACCAAACGTGTTGGATATTCTTAACTTGAACTATTGAAACATGTCCCCAAATGCCATAAAATATGTCTGGCAGGACTTTGACTCAGTAATCACTTAAAGGTTGCATACATTATGAAGATGATACAAGTGTTTGTATTGCTCTCACTTCTTTAGACAGAATTGAACCTTCTCAAGTGACTCTGCTCAGCTTTTAGACGCCCGAAACCCAGTCGCTGCTGTCTGCAGCTTTGATTTAGGCAAATGGCTGCTTCCTTTTGTTCAGCCAAAAAGGGCCTCAACCCAAAATGGCCGATTGCGGCTATATGCTATTAATATGTATTTCATTTTCTTCCCCATAACTATTATAATTACCGTATTTGGCCATATACTCACTGTAATCACCATTTTTTTCAATAAACAAATCAGAGATGTCTGCCTGGAACCAGTCTAACCCACACTTATGTTGTTACCTTTTTTTTACTATCAATGTTCTGCTTCAGACAAGCTGGACTTTAAGCGGAGGAGGACAGAACGCATTCGCAGAGAAAGGATAGACTCTTCTTTAACCAGTGACATGGAGAACAGGAGAAGATCCCGAGCCAACAGCCAATCGGATCCCATTCGGAGGGGACGGGGCAGACCAAAGACAGTGGGTCTGAAGAAACAGGAAGAGGAGAAAGGTAAAAGGAGTGATTAGTCACAGTTTCTTATTACAAGTCTCTTGTGATTAGGTCTGTCATGATAACTACAATACTTGGGAGATGCACTGTCACAGAAATAATTGTGATAAACGTATTATAATTCAAGATTATTTTATGTCAGGGATGATAGTATTATAGCATAATAATGTAAGTTCACCATTTCAAAGAGCAATGAACTTTGAATTCTTGAGAATATTCAGACAATATGAAAAAAAAGAAATAAAGTCCATATATCATAAGGTAAGTCGATAAAATAAAACTGGTTGAGGTCGTGTCCATTTATCGTACGATGAGTCGATAAAGTAAAACTGGTCGAGGTTGTGTCCATTTATCGTACGATGAGTCGATAAAATAAAACTGGTTGAGGTCGTGTCCATTTATCGTACGATGAGTCGATAAAGTAAAACTGGTCGAGGTCGTGTCCATTTATTGTAAGATAAATCGACATGTCAAGGTAATGTCTACATCTTGACGATAAGTCTGTTACGTAAAAATGATCAAGGTCATTTCCATTCATAACTTTCTGAACTTCCCTCTAAAGCTCTTTTTTCATTATTACACAGCTGTTTCTGTCACTTGTCATGTGCTACACTATGACTGCTTTCCAGATTAGAATGTCTGAAAATGTGCACCGTTATCCATCCATCCATCCATTTTTTCCTCCTCTTATCCGGGGTCGGTCGCGGTGGCAGCAGGTCAAGCAGGCCGACCCAGACCTCCCTCTCACCGGCAACATGTTCCAGCTCATTCTGGGGGATCCCGAGGCGTTCCCAGGCCAGCTGGGAGATGTAATCTCTCCAGCGTGTTCTGGGTCTCTCTCGGGGTCTCTTCCCAGTTGGACGTGCCTGGAAAACCTCCAGTGGGAGGCGTCCAGGAGGCATCCTAATTAGATGCCCGAACCACCTCAGCTGACTCCTTTCGACGCGAAGGAGTAGCGGCTCTACTCCAAGCTCCCTCCTGATGACCGAGCTCCTTACCCTATCTCTAAGGCTGAGCCCGGCCACCCTACAGAGGAAGCTCATTTCGGCCGCTTGTAACTGCGACCTTGTCCTTTCGGTCACGACCCAGAGTTCGTGACCATAGGTGAGGGTAGGAACGTAGACCGAGTGGTAAATTGAGAGCTTTGCCTTCCGGCTCAGCTCCCTCTTCACCAAGACGGTCCGGTGCAGCGCCTGCTTTACTGCTGCAGCTGCACCGATCCGTCTGTCGATCTCCCGCTCCATCTTACCTTCACTCGTGAACAAGACCCCGAGATACTTGAACTCCTTCGCTTGAGGTAGGCACTCCGTCCCCACCTGGAGGGAGCAATCCACCGGTTTCCGGCAGAGCACCATGGCCTCAGATTTGGAGGTGCTAACTCTCATCCCCGCCGCTTCACACTCAGGAGCAAACCGCCCCAGTGCACCATTATCACCAGATATAAACGACAATGCATCTCCCCCCTCTCTATGAATATCTCTATGACTTTTTACTCTGCCTTTAGTGTGGCCGTTCAGAACTATAAACACTGATTTCCCACCTGGTTGGTCAACACGTCTTACTAACTAGTTGTGATCGAGGCCATTATGCAGGTTCCACCATGTGTGACTAACTCCACTCAACCGTGCTGACATTTTGCATGGTTTGCTTTGCCATAAGAGTTCAATTCAGTGTATTGGTCCAGTCGCAACCGTCTTCTCTTTCAACATGATCTCGTGACGTGTTTGGTTGTGTCATTCCTGAAGTTTGGTGCTCCAAAACCCAAACCACTGTAGCCAATGTAAATGGGTATTTAGTGGTGTTGTTGATGGTTTCTGGTCCAAATCTTGACATTTTAGTGCAAAGTATTTAAATTCTACAAATATGTTTTACAATAGTATAGTCTAATGTATCATTATAATAGTGACTGCCCTCTGGTGTAACCAGGGTATTGCAACTTCATTTTGGTATTGGTTGATCTGGAGCCAGGTGGAGTATGTGGAGCCAGCTTTGCCGCACTGTCATTGCCTCATGTCTCTCGCTCCTCACCTCTCTTCAACTCTCCCGCTTGCGCATGGGGAGGCAGGCATCACAGTGTGAAAACCTCTGCCGCAGATTGAATTTGACATTATTTATTATTTATCTTGCAATTTGTACTCTCATTTAGCATGACCATAGATGAATATTGTATTGCCAAAATGAGTTTTCTGTGATTGACTGTGTTGTATTGTGTTCACAGAGAAACAAGAGAAGGAGGTGGATATGTATGCCAGTCTTTCAGATGAGAAGGCCTTTGTGTTTTCTGTGGCCTTGGCTGAGATCAACCGCAAGATATTGGGTCAAAGACTCATCTTATAGATTAAGGCCTGCCTACATGAGAATCCTGGCACAGAGAACCTACCATATAAAAACTATCAAACAGCAAGGGGATAACCAAAGAGGGCAGAACTGTCTGGAGCTGAACTTTGATCTGGATGTCTTTCACTTGGATGATGGGATGAGATTGAGAAACCTGCGGAAGCTTCAGACTGAAGTAGAGGGTGTTGTCGTTGGGGGATCACAGCTCTTCAGCACCTTGTATTATACACCCACCACAGACATGCAAATATATGTTTCTAGAGTATGGATTGTGTTGTAACGACATACGTAGAACCAGGAAAAGAAGCATAGATGATATTTCCCAACTTTTCTGCAGATACAAATATGACATTTCACTAAAGAAATACTACATTCATCTGAAATAAAGACTGTTATCAAGTGAACATCCTCAATTGACAGCAGCTCCACGTTAATGGGAGGGACCAAGATATTGTGGTAGCTGCGTGCTTTCTTATAAACTGAAGATGCAATAAATATTTTTTTTAATTTCCATTGTTAAGTGATCTATAAGTAATGTTGAGCACGTAGTGCATCCTATGCACAGTACACACCATGTATTTATTAGTTACTTTTATAGACTATGTCAAATGTTCTTATTGAAGAAGAATTTCACCTTGCTTTGAATTAAACTAGATAACAAAAATTGCAATCGACTAAAGACGGTGTCCGGCTTTCCTAGATTCATAAAGGAAGTCAGAAAAATCTTTCTCCAATTGTGAGGTCGTGCTGATGCAGTGAATACCTTCTTTTAAAATAAATGAATTTCATCAATCTATCCAACTTTGATTCAATCAGCAATTTTTGTTGGCTAATTAATTCATGTTCTGTTTGATGGGCCATGCATGTGTGTGTGTGTGTGTGTATATATATATATATGTGTATATTTTATATCAATAATTATATTTTCCACATAAATGAAAAGACACCATACACCCAAAATAGACTGTCAAGGCACAAAAACATCCTTTGCAGATTTTTTATTTCTTAATCGTCATGTCCCAAGAGTCATGAAATTCAGTTCTATTACTTCAGAATATTAAAAACAATGAAAAACACTTTTTAGTGTTTTAGGTTTAGTTACAGATACAAGATAAATACCACAGTCCAGTTCTGTGGATTGAATCCGTTTGGGACATGAGGAACTATGATGCTAAAACAAACCCTTCACTGAAAGCAAGTTGTGGATGATTTTTGGATTTTAATACTCCAAAATTTAAAATTTTAATGTAGTCCCTGAATGTATCACATGGGTCAGAAATCTTATGCTATTCTACTCTTTTCTGGACTGTATAATCTTTTTTTTTTTTTAAATGCCTTTAATCCTCTCATTTTAAGCAGATGATATAGAAAACTGATGTGTTTTGAGACAAAATGGATTGTTTCAAATTCTCACTAAAGACAACCTCCATGTAAGAAATGTATCCTTCCCATATATATTATCTACCCAATAAATGAAATAATAAACTCAGATACCAGTAAAGTTAGACCAGTTGGCCACATGCATTCTGCTGGTTTTTTCTGTCAGTGTGTCGGTGTCATTGTCACTGACGTTTTTCGTAACAATGACTCGGCATTACTCTCTTAACTCTTCTTTCACAGTTTGTATCTGTAAAAGCTTGTGGTTAGCACTGTCTGGCTCTGGCCTGTCTGAGTGGATTTGCATGCTCTCCCTGTGACTGTTTCCTGCAGTCCATCCATGGGTGGCACAGACATGCGGGTTGTTAAAATAATGACTGGTGTGGATGTGAGTGAGATGTGAACTGCACAAGTGAGTGACTGGACTGTCCAGGTGTTCGCCACCTCTCACCTATGTGGACTGGGATACACTATACTGAGCAGACGCCATGTGGATAATGGATTGATGGCTGTTAAAGATTACATCATGTATTTTGAATACAAGGCGCTAAAGATCAGTGTCATTGTAGATGTAATGGCCTTATTGGTAATATATATGATATTTATATCATCTTTTATCAGTCTCTCAGAGGCCAACTCTAGAAAAGTCTCCATCTTTACTTTCAGCCGTTCTGTCGTATATATTCTAAGGGTGTGGACGTGTTTCACTATTTATGTATAACATTTCAAACACTTTACATATAGTGTTTAATTTATTATCTAAACTATAAGAAGATGATCAACATGTTAGCATTTAGCTCAGCTAGCATATCGACTCTTAATCTAGTTTACTATTTACGATGTCAAGAACTAACGAGATATCGAGATCTACTCTCAGCTTCCCGCAGCGGCTCAGAACGGTTCAAAGAACCCAGTGGTCAACAACACAATCGAGATTTGGGTCAAATTCAGGTAAAAACCTGATGCTACTTTCTGCAGTTGGTCAAAAAAAGGTATTTTAACTCTTAATGACCTATATCTTTTCAGGTGTTTCTGGTCATCATGCCTCTAACACTGGATAAAACATTACTCAAACATTTGCATGATGGGCCACCTAGTTCCAATGTGACTGGCTCTTATTTATGGACTGGTAAAGCTCATTTAAAGCTTACATTGATGCCGTCACAAGTCGGTGGACAAAAAGTTCAGAGAGATAGGAATTTATGTTTTAACTGTGACCAGCAGCTCTAAAGCTCACTCAGTCTGTCTGTCTGTCTGCACTCTTAGGCCACGTTTCGGTCAATGAGTCCGATATTTGGCAATGAGGTCAACTGTGCGGGTGCGAAGGTGTTTTTGTGTTCATGCCAAATGGCAAAAAGGGGGTTTGGCAGTGAGAGTGGCCTATAATAACAAGAAGCATCACTTAACAGATATTCTGACTATGAACCGTTTGAGGCATCATTGCACTAAGCAAGAGTTCCCGTTTCATTGTTCCACGGCGGTCAAGTGTTTGTGAGCGTGGATGCATGCACGAGTGTGCATCTGTGTGTGACATTAGCAAAATGCAAAAATCTATTGTTAATATCAATTTTATTTCAGCAAATGACAATGATAATTGCCATTTAATCTTTATTTGATTTACAAGTAGGTTTACATAGATTTAAAAAGGGGAAAGAAATTGGTCAATAACAGATCAACAATAATAGCGAAGTAAGAGAAATCAGCAGACATGTACATCATAAGGTACTCAGTATGGCAACTCGCATACAATCCTGAGGAATCACTGCACCCCCCAACCACAGAGCAATCCAAAACGACAGTGTCACCAAGCAACGGGATTTCATTGATCAACAAAATGATGAAAAGTCAGACATTGTAGTTGGTGGTCCACAGAGTAAACTGAAAACCAGGCCTGTTAGTAGAAGCACACCAACGCATGCAAACACATGCTGCACTTCTCAAGGTGTCAATCCATTGGAGAGAAGTCTAGAAAAAAACAAATGCATGAACTATGGAGTCCATAGTGGGATGGAGAGACAAGTCTGATTTTATTTTTATTATCTGCTGAAGTATAAGGAACAATATGACAATTTGTGAGTTTGTTTTGGTAATAATTTGTAATTTCTCTGCAGTCCAGTTGGAATGGCAGAGGAGTTAAGGACCATGCTAAATTCTACACATTATAAACTGCATTGACAGATCAGATGACAGAACATAGTTTGCACTTTTCCTGTTGGGCCAAAGTTTGCTTATGCTTTGATTTGTCTGCACTTCAGTTAGGTTGGTCTCAACCTCTTTAAAAGGTGCAACAAAGCCGTCCTAAAGAACAGCAGAGCTACAGATTATTAAGCTAGCTCGCACAGCTGGAACACCACTACTAGCTTCTGTAGCCGTGATACACTCACTTCTCCATATGGACAGATGTGAACAAGTGAGGTGACACACCTCTGTCAGCTAATAAGCCTAATGTGACAATAAAATGATATTGGTTAAAGAGAAAGTAGTCGAGCAGGAACTCAAAGGAATATGAATGCCCATGACTTGCCACAAGTGCACACTGAAACCTGGTGCAGTGTTGCTGGCACACGCTTCTTAAAATGGAACATCTCCAACCTGCTGCAGAATACAGTTCTGCTAGTGAGGGACCGTGAAGAAGAAATGATGCATTAACATTAACAATAATTATAATAATAAAAGGAAGGAGCGAGTTCTTTGAGCTCTTCTTGACATTTATTTTTTATCTCTGGCCTACAGGATGGGATGTTGTGTGTGCTGTTGTATATTTATCATCTAGTGAAACATCTAAGGATGGACTCCCTTCCAACCTCCAATCGGTTTAAAGGACCAGGCCCTCATAGGCGGGGCCCTCCGACTCGGGAGATTCTCTCTGCAGGCGAAGATGCTCCAGTGTGTTGTGGAAGTGTTTGTTGATCTGCTCCGTTTCCTCACTGGCCTCCAGGTTAGGAAGATCTTCCCTGATCTTCTGGATAAGTTGGTTTAATACCTGGACAGTCACCTGGAGGGGTGGAGGGTGAGGGACAGTGTAAGAGTTCCTGTTTGTAGTGCGACATTAACTGACTGCATTCACATCACGTCTACGTGTTGTGAAGGTTCTAAACGTTGCTGCTGGAAGACTTATGTGCCCATACTGATCTGAAGTCATCGGAATAACAAAACTCAATGTTACAATTAGTCAACAGTCAAAATCAACAGATTTAGACTGTTAGAGGCAGTGGACTTTCCCTGATAGTTGGTTAGACAGTGAAGAAGAATGCAAGCTAGCACACAGGGGTGTAAACACTGCACAATGGTAATAGTGTTGGGTTCCGACGTTATCCCAATCTGTGTGTACGCATAAAGCATCCGCCTGTCACCCACCACGATGAATGACTGATGTATAGACCTGGACTTGGCTTAGAAAACTCCATTTGGCACTTTTAATGTCAATTGTAGTTTTAATCTAACCTTAAATGTAATCATTGTGAAGACGAGGATGTATGTCTACGTGTAATGGTCACAGCAATACTTTCCCTGTCTGATATCTTTGTCCTGCACATGATCACCTGCAAAACATGTGAAACCCAGTCATGTACACTTGGCAAGATATCAGCTCTGGCCAGGAGAAACCACCAATACAGGAAGCAGGTTTCTCATTCACATCTCAGAAGTCAGGTTACTGCAGTGACGACAGTAACCAGGCTCCCTAAGAGCACACAAAGAGGTAGGACCAGGGGTCTTAACCATGGAGACATTTGAGGTGTCCTACCGCATCGTTCTCCCTCTCATAGAAGCACACGTATCTGTTGAGGATTTCAATGAAGAGCTGGACTTGCAGCGATGGGTCCATACACTGGTTGGCAATCTTCAGGGCTTTCTTTAAACACTCCATCACCCGCTTGCCATCACGAATCTAACAATGCAACACGAGTATTTAACAACGACAGCTGAGGAAACAGATTGGAGTTCAAATGTGTCGGAACAATGAACTTACTGGGCAAGTATTATATATATTAATGACAGAAGATTGTTGGAACACACCTCTTCCCCACTTTTGTCAGTGCTGTGACCTGACCAGAAGAGATGGGCGCAGATACTGACAGCTCGGCACTGGTCAGGCTTCTTCAGCAGCTTGGAGGCCGCCAGCGCACACTGAGTCCTCAGCGGCTCGTGGTTTTCCTCGCTGAAACATCGCATTCGCTCAAAGGTACCGATGATCAGTGTGATGGCTGCCAGCTGGGCTTTAGAGTCACTGATCTCATCCTCATACAGAGAGAAGGCCTGGGGGGGGGAGAGACGACAAAATGAGACAAAAGAGAGCTCGAGGTTTAATGTTTACAACTTTCACCACCATTGTCTCTGGAATTTCTTTTTGGTCTTGGTTAGTTGCCTAGTTTGTAATATTACTGCACTTTTTAGGAACAAACATTTTTGCTGTAAAAAATAAATAAATAAAAAACTCCAAATGTTTGAGTTAAAAAGGCCCAAGTTTGAGCTTTAGCAAATCTACTTGAACACAAAATACAGTATTGGCTGAAGCCAACTAATTATTGGTTCAGAGACATTTCCCTGTTTCCCGACTGTTGTCACAATCTTTTAGATTTGTAGAGTAAATAAATAAAAACAATGTGTGAAACCTTCAGTGTCGTTTGGTTTATCATGTGGTTGTGGGGTTGACACCAGCTGTAGCTTTCCAACCAATCATTTTTAACTCTTGACTTGCACATGAATCTATGAGGCCAGCTGGAACAAATGTATAACCATAGAGCCGAAGAATCACATTCTTTAGGCCACACGTGTCTTTATGTGGCCCGCGAATCCACCAGCAAAAATTTTGGAATTTTTTTTTTTTTTAAGTTGGACTTAATAAAAGTATCCCCATGGTCGAAATTATGAGATAGAAAGTTGAAATTCTGAGATAGCATGTTGTCTGTGTACCGACATTAAAACTATCACAACAGGTGGACAGGAGAGGGAACAGGCCGTAAAGTGGTTTTCCAACAAGCGATTGAGTTGAAAAAGATCAACAAATAATCCCAAAATGTCCACGAAGAGAAAAATTGATGCAGAGGGAAGAAGATGTAATTTAAGATGGGAAAGCGAATACATGTTTGTGCTTCAAGGAGAAAAACGGATCCGTCTTCTGTGTTATGATGCGTGTCGGTGATGAAGGATACAATTCACGTCGGCATTTTGACACCAAACACGGAGCTAAATTTAGCCTCCAAGAAAAACAGAAAATTGTCCAAGAATTAAAAGGCAGACTGCAATCACAGCAGAATATATTTACAGAAGCTACAGCCCAGTGCATGCTAAAGGTATGCGAGCAGGTGTGCTGCGACCAGATACAGACTTTTACAAATGTCAGTTTGTGAAGAAACACCATCGCAGACCGAGTTCAGGAACTAGCAGCAATCTAACAACAGAGCTAGCTCAGAGACGAGATACATCATCTATCAATGTTTGTAAAAGGCTCAAGGCAGACCTGACTCTGTGAGGAGCTCTTGGATGTAGCTGCCATGCACGGGACGACGGCAGGGACATTAGTGATGCAGAGAGGTGA